GGCCCCTCACCTGCCCCCACTCTCACCGCTGACCGCTGGCCCCTACCGTCCCTGCTCTCACTGCTGACTGCTGCTCCCTCACTGGCCCCTCACCTGCCCCCCTCTCACCACTGACCCCTCACCGTCCCTGCTCTCACCGCCGACCGCTGCCCCCTCACTGGCCCCGCTCTCACCGCTGAACCAGCCCACTCTTGATCTGCCGTCGCACTCCGGCCCACGTGTGATCCACCATCCCTACAAGACACAACCCGCGCGTTCTGCTCCCAATTGTGACCCAACTCCTTAGGTAGGTAGTTAAAAGGACAGGGTTTGTAGGGGGATAGAATTATTGCAGTGGGGACAGAGAAGAAAAGAAAAAGAAAGCAAAAGGAAAGGGAATTGGCAAGCTGAGTGGAGCTCCCAATGGAGCGACTTACCCTGCCGCCATCAAAAAAGTTCATGTACTTGCACCACTGGGTCTCTCTGTTCGGAGAGGGCCCTTTCATGAACGATACAAGTCCTGGTTTGTCTTAACTAAATGCAACATCTTGCATTTATCGGAATTAAACTCCACTGGCCAGTCCTTGGCTCAGTTGACCTGGATCCCGTTGTGATCTCAGATGACCTTCTTTACTGTCCACAGTATACCACCAATTTTGGTGTTATCATAAACATATAGTAAACCATGCCTCCTCTATTCGCATCCAAATTGCTTATATAAATGCTGAACAAAAGTGGACCCAGCACTGATCCTTGCAGCACACCGCTGGGTCATAGGTCTCCAGACTGGAAAACCATTCTTGACCACCACTATCTGTTTCCTACATCAAGCCAATTTTGTATCCAATTGGCTAGTTCTCCCTGGATCCTAATAGATATAATTTTATTCCCTTTGCTTTGATATTCCTTGCAAAATGTTGTGAAGAATGCAAGATGAAAAGCTTCAACAAAATGTGTCTATTTTCAGTAATGCACACGTTTCATTCTTCTCTGTATCCACACGTTTAATGCTGCAATTTTCTTTTGGACATACAGCAATCATGCTTAAGAATACCAAACCAAGCTACTAAGAAATCCACACTACTTGAATTCCTGTTTGGCCAGTACGAAGTATGCACACTTCCCCATAGAGATAACCTACTTACCTGGTCAAGAAAACACTGGTATAAACCACTGGCAGGTTTCAGGGTTCTCATGAGTATTCATGGATGCTGGAGGCATTTAAGCTGCATTATTCTGGCAAAATATCCTCTTTTTTGGCCAGTCAGAACCAGCCTTCGAGTTATGAAACCAGCTTTGCAAATGGTCCCATACCCCAGTGATAGGTTTACTTGTTCATATTTTAATCACTTGGCTAGTAAATGACAATACAATCATTGGAAGCATGAAAATGGCAAGTATGCCATGGAGAGATGTGTTTAATCTCCCATTATCATGCTTTTCAAGCCACCTCGTTAGATAAGGTGACCTTTCCCAAGCTACCACAAAAGAATCACCACAAATCATCTTAACTAATTCACAAGGTATGAGTTTTAACATTCAATAGAAAGAGACGACATTAATATCAAAAGTGAACAGCAGACTGTGCAGCATGCCTTAACAATTTCCCTAACAAAATAACAAATTTAACCAATCAAATCAATGGGACTCTTTAAAAACAAACTTCCAGTGAAAACACACATACTTACCTAAAAATGTGCCAATGAAAAATACACCAAGAGGTACATTTATTACAGGACTGGTAATGTTAATGAACCAGTTTGGCAGGAAAGGAGTTATTCTCAAGAAAATGATATAATTTATAAGATGCTCCCTGTGCTTGTCAACCTGCAAAATATACATAAACGTATATGTCAGTTTGACATAATTTGGACAATTTTCAGATCATTATATCCAGACACAAATACTTCTCTTGCACTCCAAAAGATAATTACATTTTGTGACAGATCTAAGTTATATAGCATTGCCATATTACACACCGAGCAAAGCATCAGTGACTAGTAACAGAGATAGTAAGAAATGCCGATGCCGGAGTCAGAGATAACACAGTGTGGAGCTGGAGGAACACAGCAGGCCAGGCAGCATCAGAGGAGCAGGAAAGCTGACGTTTCAGGTCAGGATACTTCTTCAGAAAAAAAATTATTTTTTTTTCCTGACGGGTCCTGACCAGAAACTCAGCTTTCCTGCTCCTCTGATGCTGCCTGGCCTGCTGTGTTCCTCCAGCTCCACACTGTGTTATCTCTGACTAGTAACATTTTTGATACATCTATTATATTGGCAATGTAGATGACGTTTGCTGATGGCAGAACAGACCAGAGTGAACTGATGACTTCATCACTGGAATGTCCGTAAAAGTGGAATGAAATAATTTGAAAAATCCACTTCATATCTAGGAGGAAGCTCTCAGATGATGCTCTACTTCAATGCATTCCCTTGCACCTGTAAAGGTCTGGCAACAATGGTCACTTGTCACGTAAAGTATCTTGATCAACCCTAATCTTATTGCACCAAAGTACCACTGCAGGGCAAGGCTGTAGTTTTACTTGCTTTCTTTGCTTCCAACATTTGGAGTGGTATTTGACCTAATACTGATAGTTAACTTCAAATACTACTCAAGATTGAAGTCTTCTTTTAAAGTAATTTTCCTCTTAGCTATTCTTGTCCTGATTCCCCGACTCTGGATTTCTATTTCAGAATGTTACTAGTGTGATTTATCTCAAGCCCCAAAGATGATTTGCCATGACTCCCATTTTAATCTTCTCTTTTATCAAGATGTTGTAATTTTCATTTCAACTCTCGGCACCGGTCCATTCAGATCAAGAATCAAATTTAGTTCTGTCTTCAATGTTAGAGCCAAACATCCAGCATCATTTTAGTGATGCTAATTTGGGACTTTAACTTATAAATTTGAGATGAAGAGAACACAACAGTCCGGATACTACAATTGCCAGATAGTTAGGAGTCTGGAGTTGTGGGTGTCTGGACTATGTGGAATCCCTCTTGCACCTGACTCGCTGAGAATTGCCTGGCAAACTATGTTTTCCCAAATGTTAATTATCTTCTGAAATAAGCCCTTAAAGAGTTTGAGAATTTGGATGGCTCCAAATCATTTAAGGTTAATAGTTAGCCAGGAAAAAAATCGGAACATATAGAAACCTAGTGCAATTCTTTGGTAATTATTAGGTTGACCACATTCCCCTATGCCAAAACACAAATCTAACACCACCAACCACCACCCTGCTGGAGCCAACTTTTCCCAACTCCAACAACAGGGCTGACCTGAACCTGCTGGGACCAACATCAAAACCCCCGCTGCAGCCTCCCTGCCATGAACTGTTGACCTTAAGTCCCTCCCAACTGGACCCACCCCTCCTAAATCAGTTAATATCCCTCCTGAGCCAACCAGACCCATACTGACATACTGATCAGAACATGTGGGCCAATACTTCAATTCATCTTTAACCACTCTCCATGAAAGAAGGGGAGACAACAATTTATGGTAGATGCAGGTTGTCATTTGCCTCAAATGAAGATCAAAGCAATAAATTCACTTGGCATAAACATTCATCACAAATATTCTTTACAAATTTTAAGAATTTCCTGTCATTGGTTTTCTATATACCAAAGACAATGGATACAAATAGCATTGGTCAGATATATTAAATAGAAGCAAATTCTAATTTCCAACAATCTCCTAGTTTAATAAAAGACAGCATTTTGATATCAATATCTGATCACCATGAATAATTTTCCATTAACTTTGCCTTGAATGGCAGCCCTGAGATTCCCACAGAGTAAACAAGATCATGCACACCAGCATAAAACAACAGGATTAATGCTCCTGGGAGGTAACTGTGAAACAAAAATAGAAAATGTTTAAAAAACACACCAGCTCCATCAGTATCTACCGTGAAACAGAAAAGTTTCCATTTGTATGTCATTTCTTCTAATAGAATGGAAATGATCTGTTACGCCTTCTTGGATCGGATTTCCCCCTTTGTTTAGTTATTTCTTCAATAATTTATTCCTCCTTTTTTCTCTTAATTGTATTAGCACATTTGCTGGCTTTTTCCATTTCAGCTGGAAAAAATCCATATCTTCATTATGCTGAACAACATGCTGTGTGTTCCAAGCATTTTGAATTTGTTTTAGATTTTTAGCATCAACAGTATTTTGCTTTTTATGTGTTTGATTTGAAGAGATTGAGCAATAGAATGTTAATGCCTGCTTAGTACAGGGTAATGATGTATCTTAGTTAATAGCCCTGTCCATCCAGTCAGTGGAATCACAGTACCCTGGATAAGAAGCCAAACAATGACTTTAGATATGGCTGTATAGGCCAAGTGGTTTTAGAGGATCAAGAATATGCTAAACAAACTGCCCCACAATGTACATTAATACATCAGGATCACTATCTGGCATTACAAAACCACTTACCATTATATTATTTTAATTCATTTGAGAGCTGTGGGCATCAGTGGCTGGCCAGCATTTATTGCCTGTACCTAGTTGCCCTTGAGAAGGTGGTGGTGAACTGCCTTCTTGAACCGCTGCATGCTGTAGATTGACCCACAATACTATTAGGGAGGGAATTCCAGGATTTGACTCAGGGATAGTGAAGGAATGGTGATACAGGATGGTGAGCAGCTTGGAGGGAAAATTGCAGGTGGTAGCGTTCCTGTGTATCTGTTGCCCTTGTCCTTCTAGATGGAACAGGTCACAGATTTGGAAGGTGCTGTTTGAGGATCTTAGATGGATTTCTGCATTGCATCTTGTAGATAGTACACACTGCTGCTACCGAGCGTTGGTGGTGTAGGGAGCGGATGTTTGTGAATGCGGTGCCAATCAAGCGGGCTGTTTTGTCCTGGGCGGTGTCAAGCTTCTTCAATGTTGTTGGGGCTGCACCCATCCAGGTAAGTCGACAGTACACCATCACACTCCTGGCTTGTGCCATGTAGATGATGGACTGGGTTTGGGGAGTCAGGAGAGGAGTTACTCGCTGCAGTATTCTGCAGAGTAGCCTCTGCTGTTATAGCCACTGTATTTATGTGGTGAGTCCAGTTGAGTTTCTGGTCAATAGTAACCCCCAGGATGTTGATAGCGGGGGGAAAATCAGTGATTGTAACATCACTAAACGTCAAGGGGCAGTGGTTAGATTGTCTCTTACTGGTGATGGTCATAGCTGAGCGCTTGTGTGGCACGTGTCATCCCAAGCCCGAATATTAAACAGCTCTTTCACCCCAGATTTAAAATCAAATTTCATTTTTTACATTATTTAGCATTTTTCTTTTAAACTTTATATTGACCAACTCAATTCACTATGAAATCTCCAAAGTATAAATCATTGAAATTAGAATAAATCTTACCTGTTGCGACCATTTTGTTGCCCTATCCGTCAAATATTTATAAACAATTGGCCGTCCAACCAAATAAGAAAGCATATAGCAGAAGGAAGCTCCAAGCCCAGAACACTGCAATGAGTGGAGAAAAACAGAATCCATATCGAATTAATAATTCCAGAAATAAGTTACTTCACAAATGTGGTTACGTTTCACTACTTACAGCACCATTACATAAAGCATTTAGAATAGGGTAGGCAATCTAGCCTCTCAAGACTGTTCCACAGGATCTTTGACAAAGTGCTCCTTTCCTTGCCCACTAGCAAACAAAGTCACAGATGTGTAAGTAATTACAGGAGAGAAATGCAGAGTATAGGAGAAGGCTATTTAGCCTTTCATATCTGTGCTGGTGCTCTACAAGGGAGCAAACACAAAAAAATTGCAAACACGTATCTTCTTTATCAATAGCAAGCTTTGAAAGTGAAATGTTATGCCAAATCATAATATTTAGAACTTATTATTCTCCATTTTAGAGCACGTGTCTCTTCCAGCATTCTGTGCATCCTGGTTTTATTTTCCAATGTTCTGTGTTGGTTGTCACACCCTGCTGAACTAGTTTAAACCCTCTGCAACAACACAAACAAAACTCTCGCAAAGAACTCAGTACTGGATCTGTTCAGATGCAACCTGGCTTGCACAAGTGCCATTGTGCCCCAGGGGCAGTCCTAGTGCCCCAGGAATCTAAATCCCTCACTGCTGTAACATCTTTCCAGCCATGCATTCATCGGCCTTACCTTCCTTTTCTGTACTCACTCACACATGATACTGGGAGTAATTACATAGATTATTACTTTAGAGAGAGGTGCTACTTGCTCATTTTCCACCCAACTCCCTAGATTCCAATGACAGGACCACAATGCCCCTTCCTGCCCATGTTGCTAGAACCAAAATAAAGTATGACCTCTGGCTGTTCGCCCTCCCCAAGAAGAATGTTCTGCAGCTTTTCTGTGACATCCCTGGCCCCCAGTACCAGGGAGGGAACAAACCATCCTGGAGTTAAATCAATGGTCACAGAAATGCTTGTCTAATCTATTAAAGAATCCTCAATAACTTCTGCTTGCCTTTTCCCGCCTCCACAGCTGAGCTAATCATGCCAAAGGCTTAGCTCTTGGTGCGCTCTTTAAGGATGCATTGCCTTCACCAAAAACCGGAAATGAGCAAAACTTCTTAGAGTCCTGGACTCCTTTCCAGCTTTTCTTAGACTGCCTGGTAGACACGTATTCCCTGTCAGCCTACTTGCCGATAATTTGTGGTGCAACCACCTCTCTGAACATGCTATCCCACATTGTTCTCTGCATCATGATGCACCTCAGTGACTTTAATTGCTGCTTGGAGTGCAGCCAGTGACATTTCATGCAACGGGCTTGTCTCAGTCAAGCAAATTATCCATGATTTCCCACATACCGTAGGGCAGACATTCCAATTGGATGACCTGCTCTGCATTAGTTAACATATACTTGTAAGGTATTTTACTTACTGTAACTTTAATTACTTTAACCACACTCTGGTACTATTAACAAAAAAACTGGAGATTAGAAGAAAGTTGAAATTCAGTGCCCTTACTCACAAATCAGCTCCCTCTCCTATGCTTACAATTCTTTAACTTCCCTGTGCTAGCTTAAAAATTTGTGTTTTTCAAAATTACAGGAGTTGAAACAATCCCTAATGGCAGTGCTCACCATGAAATCAACTCAAGATTTCTGTAATGTCATTTTAAGACTTTTTATCTCTTCTGCTGTTACTGTCTTTGAACTTTGATGTTTTGTTGGGGTTTAAAACTACAGCTACATCACATAACAATCATTCATTTACCCTGCAAAAACAATGCAGTGGCTGCTTTGTCAAGAGCATGAGAAGGAAAAAATATTGTCGTTCAAAATGACCTACTTAGAATAGCTATACAAACGTATTGCACATTTAATATATTATTACCAGGGATGTAACATGGAAATAATGTTCAGAATAATCTTTTGATGGGAAATGAAAATGCCTCCTAAGGATACATTTTCATTCTCCTAGAGGGTGGAAGGGAGATAAAAAGTATACATTTGATATATTTTAATATCATTTTTGGATTTTTGGCTAGAGACTGATGGGTATCAGTTACTTCGATAAAGGGATTTTATTTTTTAAAAAAATCGAAGAGTCCTTCTGGAATAGTGACTAGATCCAGCATTTTGTCAGTGAGTAGGTGACTGGAAACCACTGTGGTGTTAACGGAGAGATGTTTATACTGTTCAGTTTATGAGAAGCACAATAAAAATGCAAGGCCATTCTCCTTGCTTTCAGTTCAGAAGAATCTAGAATGAACAAATATGCTTTTAATTCAGTCCAGAAAATAGCAGTGTTGAGTTTAGAAGCAGGTTTAATTTCTCTCCTAGGAGAAATTCAGGAACAAGTCACCTCAGCAGTGTTCAGTTGGTAAAGCTTCCAAGCCAGGACAATCTGGTTATAAATCTGTAGATTAAAACTGGGAAAGCTTTGGCAATCAGATTTGTGAAAGTTGATGTTGACAGAATTAGAAAAGGACCCAAACTGTCTCCACACTTCACAGTAAAATAACAGTCAGGAGTTGGTTAATTAGAATCCCAAAGAATTCAGATGAGGATGGCAATTTCTCTGGATGAGAATCTCTGAATCGGACAGTGTCAGGAATCAACTCGAAACTTTATTTGGCTGTGGGTTTTATATCTGGCTAAAGGTCTAATTTTAGATAGCTTATCTATTTTTAATTTTTGCACACTAAACTTCTGTTTTGTTAAAGAAAATCTGCAGCCTCATGCAAATAAATACCACTTCAACTAAAAGAAATCTGTCAAGCCCAGGTTCATTCTAACATCCAACTCGTCCAGCAATAATATTAACATGAATCATAACAATGGCACTTTCAAGAACTCTAATCCTCTTACACTCTGCGCTTTCATTACTCCTCAAATTATTTTGCCTGAGCTTTACCAATTTCATCAACAGCAGTAGCATGAAAACAGATGAAAGACTAAAACTGCAACTCCAAATTGGAGTATAAAATAACTCTTAAAAAAGGTTGATTAGGAACTGCAACAATTAACACGGATGATCAGAAAGCAATGATGATTTAGCCTTTAATAATACACAGAATCTGCATTGCCCCATAGTTTCTGTAATACACATCTTGCTGACTACAAGTCAAGAGACAAATTGCCCCAAGCTTATTTAAAAGCAGCTGCTGGGAAGCCAGGCCTATAGGTCATACAGACCAAGTAAGGCCCAAATTATTTTTGTCCCAGATCTGGGATTGGTCATAATTGATTCTCAGCCATGAAAATGGTTATGGAATTACAACTGGCATCAGTGTTCTGGTGGACAGAAAAGATGGGAAAATAATCAGAATGATCATTTTCAATCACCATTTCCTGTTGTAAAATGCATGAATGAACTTTACACAAGGGGAAAATTAGGTTTATTTATGATTTCACACTTGGTGAAAACAAATCGTCAAAGTTCACTGCTCCTGTTCACAAATACAAAACAATTATTTCAGGTAGATTATGCTTTTGTATTTTGTACTGCACGAGTACAAGTCAGGGGTTGGAAACAGAAGCAATTTCATCCAAGATCATGTTCATGTACCAGCTAGAGAAGGGGAGTGGTTTGTACTCATATAAAGAGACAAATAATTGAATTAAACATTCAGTTCAGAGGCATAAAGCAGAGGAATCTGAGATTACAGATACACAAATCAATAGAGTAGCAATGGAGATAAAAAGGCAATCAAAAAACTAGGTCATTTTTAAGAGTTGAAAAGCGAACTTTTTGTTTTGCATAGGATCCTACGTTCATTAGACTTATGAATACACTGAACAGCGGTCATCTCCATATCATGTAAAAATAGAGGTGAGGGAGAAACTGAGATTTACTGGAATAATTACCAAAACTGACAAGTTATACCTATCAGTAGAAATTGAACAAGCTAGGAATACTTTTCACTACAAAATAGAAAGCTGAGTAGACCTGATAGAAGTCTTTCAATATTAGGAATTATTTAATAAAGGTGACTTGGGGGCAAAACCAGATTTAGACATTAATATATGATTATCATGAATAAACCTCCCCTTTGCTTCCTCTGTTCCAAAAGAAACCCAACCTATCCAATCTTTCCTTATGCCTAAAATTGTGTGTTCCTGGAAATATTCACGTACAAATCATTTGTAACTTCATTCATGCAATCACATCCTTCCTATAATGTGGTGACCAGATCCACACTCAAAACAGCAGTTGAACTTGCATCTTCTACAGTTGTACCATGTGAGAAAGAAGTTCCATGTTAGCAACAACAAATCTATTCCATTTTCTTACCAGACAGACGAGGAACAGGGCTAAAGGAAATGGGTACAGAAATCCTGAGAGGATGCTTAGAAATATGGAACCTGGTATGGCAAATGTCTGTAAACTGGAGAGAATAAGGTCAAGGATTATGATGATACATCTGCTGTGCAACACAAATCTTAAATTTACCCAGCTTCAGTAGATCATGTACATTGTATTTAAAATATTCTTTAATTGTTAATGTATTGTTAAATATTCACTTTATGCACTAGAACAGCCAATCATGTGCATGATCTTGGAACAATGACATGAATATCAAACAAATGTTAAGTAATTAAATAACATTAGGCATGCAAGATAAACAAGTAACCATGATCTCTAAATGAAGTTGAGAAAATTAAGAAGTTTTAATTAAATCAGAGCCTTCAAAGTGATCAGTCAATGAATTTAGACAATGACTGAGACAGCCTTAAGATGGAGGAAAAATAGATCTCTTTGTGCCAGAGAGTTTGCTGATAGCCAGTAAGACATCACAAACAGTTGGAGTAAAAGCTGCCTTGCATTTTCTCTATACTTTTAGCTCTATAGAAAGCAGTCACTGCCTAATCAGCTTCTTGGGTCTTTCTGCACAAACCTGTTAGAAAGGAAGCCAAACCTCCAACAGTTAATAGGATAGCAGATCTCTAGAGAGAAAACAATGGGCCTGCCATTCACCACTCCATGTGGTGACATACTTTAAACAGAGAGCCTGACAAATTGTAAGGGGTGGAGAGAGTGTAGAAAGCAAGCAGTTGAAAATTGTCAGCCTTGAGTCAATTGTACATCTTCCACCTCAGAGTCTGAGGTTTGTGGATTAAAGTCCCATCCCAGAAACTGGGACACTGCTGAGGGAGTCCTGCAAATGGAATATTAAACTGAGCCCTTGTCAAACTTCCGTTAAATGTAAAAGATCTGATGGCAGAGTGCTCCCCAAAGCCTAGCCAATATTTACATCTCAGCTAAT